TTTTACAGATCTCTGACCACTTTTAATTTTTTGTTTATTTCATGACCCTTTTTAGCTCATTACCTCTTTGATGTAGTGTAGCCATGAAACAACACTGACAAAATACTGTATAAAAGGAAACAATATACCAAGATGTATTAAATGCAACACTGGTGATGGATTACTTCATGGGCATGAAATTTTGTTCCCTCACATTCAGCAGTGTTTAAGGAACCTTCTCTAGTACCCAACTAAAGAACTTTACTTTTATTTGTACTTTTAGGTACTGTCCTGTAAGATTAAGAAAAACCAAATCAGTAGGAAAGAATGTGAAGAAAGCATTTGCCTTTATTGCAACAACAAAATATTGATGCCCATATTGTTCTGCCAATCCTCAGTCCTACATACCTGTTTCCATTGTTTAAGACATGGTGAAGAAGAGCTTTTCTTCTTCCATACAGATGACTGTTCTTCCTATAGTGTAACACCTTGCACTTTTTTTCCCTTTATATTTTATCCCATTTTAAATCTTTATATGTTAGTCAAGGATATTTTAAATTTTAATTTCTCTGAGAAAGTATCTTTCTTTTTTGATCATTATAGGAAATGTGCTCTAGAAAACATCAAACCAGTTGTGAGAGAGAAAGTAGATTTGAGCCTGCTGTAATTTAGTGCTCAGGGCACTACATGAAGTTCTGAAGTTCTATTTCTTCCTAATCTTAAATGATGTAGGATAAATATTGGTGACTCCAGTTCTTATGTGTCTTCAGCAAGTTTTCCAACTATAAGTATACCAAAGAGTTAATTTCATTTAAAAAAATGAAATTGAATTACAGAATTTTATCACTAGACCTATGAGGTATAAATGTTGCTGATAAAATATTAGTTTGGAAATATAATGTGGCATTTCAATGGGGAAAAAAATTTCAAATATAGTGCTTAAATAAATTTATTTACAAATAAAGAAAGGTCATTTATGAATGAATTTTAGCAGATAAAATTGAACTTCACTGCCCTTGAAGCTATGGATGTATTTATAAAGGATCAGTAAAAGGTGTTTTCGGCTGGAGAACAAAAGTAACTCAATGCAGAGGAATTTTTTTGCAAGCTATTTCAAAATAAAACAGCAATGAAGACAAGTATTTTTTGCCAGTAAGTCTGAAGTTTGTTGTAGAGATGCCTATCTTGAAACATAATTTACAATTGTGAGCTTTAAACTGCAGATATGATGTATTGAAAGAGTCAGGTTACATTGAGTAGGGTCCAATACATTATGCTGAACAGGGAGTGCTTTAAGGCAAGTACATTGGCTAGGGACCTTCTTAAGTAGTCAACAATAATACTGATAAAAAGATTCATCTGCTGTTCTAGCTTTCTCTAGAGATGAATGTTTTCTGTGGTATTGACAGTTTTTGAGCTGGTTTGAGAAAATAGGTTTGTGGTTTTATCTTTTTTTCAAAAACAGAGCAGGTTCTATGCTGTTGTAAAAGTCACAGCTACCATGATGCTTGTACTACTGATCTTTTCTCTTCCTCCCACCACGTGGTGAACATGCACATGAACACCCACACATTTCTCTTCCTGAAGCCAGTGTCTAGAAAACTAAGAGATATGAAAATCAATATTTGATTTCTTTTTCTGCCCAAGTGAATTTAAATTCGTATTCCCCTACTTCTCAGCATAAACATTAAAATCGTATTGAGATGCAACTCCCTATGAACTTTCTGGACGCTTTTTATTACAAAATCTATGAGCTCTAACAATACTATATAATTTTGGAGAGTTATTTTGACTTTTCAGTTCTCAATTTTTTATATCAGTTACATAGAATGGCCACTGTATAGACAGTTTTTAAATGAGAAATCAAGATGAACACAGCTAGTTAAAATGTGAAGTATACATATACATGCAGAGACTAAGTTCTCATTTCAAGTTTCTTATTTGAAGAACCCCTTTTCTGGACTGGGATTTGCCTGCTAGAGTAATGTATGCCATCGCTTTAACACAAAGAATGAACAAGGGAATGTGCTGAACTTTGATTCAAAGCTATTTATAATGGTCAAAAAAAAAAGCTGACTTAAAAGGCTGAGAGAAGTCCAGATTAATCTTATTGATTCTGAAAGCAAATAAGGTATTGCTGCACATCATCTTGGATCATATCAGCAGTTAGATGAAGTGTAATGTAGGTATTGGATTTTAATAGTAATAGATGAACTTCAGTGGGACTTCATTTGAAATAATGTGATGGCAAATGCTAAACTATTTAACAAGTCACTCTGCATATTTCATTTGTTACCTGATCATCTGTTACAAATGAAAGTTCAGAGTTTTTTCATTGGGATTCTTCTAAACATATGTAACAATTTCTAGCAAGAGAGTTGTTCTGAGTGTAAGCTGTATAAAGAGTGCCCCAGAGCTCCATTCTTCAGTGTTTCTGTAAAGCGTGCTCTGGTACACAGCAAAAGTAACAGTGGTCACCAGTCCAGATGGGAAAGTGATGCTCAACATCTGAACAACAGCAAAAATCAGGGACAGTGGGTTTTCAAGTCTGTAGTTCCACTGTTTGGAAATACTTCCTGCTGGCAGCATGGCTTTTAGGCAGATGGTACTGGCATAGTTTTCATATGTTGTCATTCACAAAAATGTGTTGATAAGACATTCACACATGCTGAAAATGTGAAAAGACTCAAAGTCTTGGGAAAATAAATATTGGATTCCAAACAAGTGAGAATGATTAAGGCTTTATACCATGACAGAACTTTCTTACCCTTAGACATACCCAACAAACACTGAATAGGTTTATCTTCCCACAATTAGACAGTTATATTTGAGTTGTTATTTATATTTACCTTATAGCTCAGAGAGCTATGACTCACTTGTTCTCTTCTAGATGGATGTATAAAAGAGATCATGCTTCAGAGGTGTCTGTTGCTCACTGCTGCCTGGACAGATTCTAAACAGCTCTCTTAGACGTGGGTTTCTCTTACAAAAACAGGCTGAGAGAATTGGGGTTTTTCAGTCTGGGAAAGAGAAGGCTCCAGAAAGACCTTAGAGAAGCCTGCCAGTATCTAAAGGCACCTTAAAGAAAGCTGGAGAAGGACTCTTTACAAGGGTATGTAGTAACGGCACAGGGCAGAATAGCTTTAAACTGAAGGAGCATATGTTTAAGTTACATATTAGAAAGAAATTTTTTGCTATGAGGGTACTGACACACTTGAACAGATTTCTCAGAGGTGTGGATGTCCCATTCCTGGAAGTGCTCAAGGTCCAACCTGGCCGTTGAGCAACCTGGTTTATTGGAAAGTGTTCTTCCAAAGTATTGGAAGTAGATGATTTTAAAGACCCTCCCAGCCCAAGGTGTTCTGTGATTTCTGGCTGTAAACCTTTCATGACATCCATTACAGGCTGAAGATACCTACATGTGGATGTCTGCTGACGTGACCAATGTTTATATCTCATTACAAACATGGAAATCTGGTCCTGCCTCCAGCTAGAAAAGGACCTGGATGTCCTAAAAAGCCTGTGTCAGCTTTACATGCTCAGAGGTCTTAGGATATCTCAGTGTCTTGAATGGCAAAAGTGACCTACATGGGGACAATTGCTTTGAGCTCAGGGATAGCCCTGAGCTATGAACAATTCACCTGAGCAACTGCTTTGTATATAATTCTGAATAAATCTAATTTCTGCCTAGACTGCATTTTCTATTTCTACTATAAGGGAGGTTATGACACTCAGTTGCAGCATAGAGCTACATCAAAGTGTAGCCTAAGTGCCTTAAGCTTAACCTGATCCTGTTCCTAAAGACTGAAAGGTTCTATTGGCAATCACCACAGACCTTTCTCCCTCATTTTATAGAAATAGAAATATTATGAAGCTAATTTTTCATGTTTAATTTTATTTTTAAATTCCTCATGCTTTCATTCCGTACACAGGATACGTTTCTTTAATTCCATTACTCTCTTTTTGATATCATCTGCCATTTAAGAAAGCATAGATGAACAACTTGATTTTAAATCTTCTTTTAAAAACAAATACTGCAGCTAAAACTTAAACCATGCTTGATTTTTCTTCACTTACATGAAATGCAGTGCTGTGATGATGCTGTAATATACATTACAAATTAATAAAGAAATAGTACTTTTAAATATGATCATTCATTTCAGAGCAGGTGTTTTTGTCTTCTGTGCAATGAATGTAAAGATTTGAAATTTCATTTGTCTGCATATTTTGACAAATTAGGACAGGCAGTCCTAATACAACAGTTTTTATTTGGAAGAGGAAATATCTGACTGAATGTTAAGGGAATAAGCCAGAAATTAAAGTTTCTTTTCTACTACTAATGGAGAAAACATTATTTATACCAAATAGTTGACTATCCTATGGAGTTTACTAGTTATTAGTCCAGTGATGATGTAACATAAGAAATGTATGTTCATTTTATCCTAAACAAAATAAATTCTGCAACAACTGGGTTTAATCACGTTTTACATTGTGAAAACATAGTTTTCTACTGGTACAGAACTCTGTATCTTAATGGCAACTTTTATGAAAAAGAACTTTTATGTTCTTGTTCTGACAGAGTGGAATGAACATCTTCAGGACAAGAACAATATTTCACTTCCCCGCTTCTTGTATGTGTTCACATACATTTATACATACCTGTTTCTAATATATTTTCATAAGTCTTTGTATAAATAAAATCAAACAAGACATAATTACATCATTATTGGCAACATTTCTTTGTGTAACAATACAATGGAGAAAATTTTATAATTTTTTTTTACTCTTTGCATATTAATGTCTACTTAAAAGACCACTTATCCTGTATTTTCCTGTACAAAAGAGGCTTTTTATGTCTAATCCATTTGAAGACTGAAAAGCAGACCAGTTTTCCACTTTTTCCACTGTAAATAATGCTCATTTGTATGCTTTTTATTTATTGAATGGGATAGAGCTTGTTATTCACCATTATGAAATGTTCATATTCTTAAATTTTTTTTGTATGCCTTTCTTTTTTGCAGACTAAAACTGGTATTGCATTGTTGTATGATGAAGTATCTGAAAATGCTTATGACATCCGACTGAAGCTTACAAAAGAGGTATTAACAATTCAAAAACAAGATGTCGTCTGTGTTAGTGGAAGTGATCACAGTGCAAATGTAAGTGCTTCTATATCTCTGTGCTTTTGGCTGCCCACTTTAATGAATTCTGCAGAGGACACCTTTATTGTATTGGAGTGCAAGAGATTTTATTGGGTAACAAATACAAGTAATTATCAGTTGTTTGGCTCTTCTGTGGGTACCTATATTCATAAGTATAAAAACTGCATTTCTGACCAGTGCTGTACATACTTTATGATGTCATTTGTAATCTTAATACTAGCAAAAAACATCTATAAATACCAAGATGAAAGCATTCTTCCATCAAATATTGCTGGGCCTTTAATTTGGGGAGAAAAGGAAAAAGTGTTTCCCAGTGAAAGCATTTGAAGAGTAAACTGATACACCAAAGTTTTCTTCATTTGTGTATCAGACAGGATGTCTGTTCAAGGGCATTGAGCTGACTGAGAGAACACTTGATGGGCACTTATTTCACTGTAATTCTCTTTCAGGCACAGATGGAGCTTAATCAGCGCCAGCATGTATGTGGTGCTTTTTTTAACCAAAATTCAGTTATGCTGCATTTTCAAAGCCTGTGGTGCCTCTAAGCTATAGAGGAACCTTCTGTGTTACCATTTGGTAATGTCACTAGATAAACTGGTGATGTTTTGCATAAGCAGTGCAGCAAGGGTGTCTAAGTTATCAACATCCTTAAGTGATGTATTTCATTTCCTCATATAAAGAGTGTTCTTGAATATGGAATACATGTACTTAATTTAACGAGTAAAATCGATTTCATGAACTTTGCTGGTGTTTCTTAGAGTGCGCAATTCATGGCAGCCTCCTCAGAGTGGGCCAAGGGAGAGTATTTCTGTCTGCTTTCTGTATTGCATCCTGTAAACTTAAAATCTGGCACCTGGGGACATCAAGTGGGTTTGTGATACTCTGCTAAGAGTTAAAACCAAAAAAGCATATAATGGCTATTTTTGTGTGTGTATGTGAGTATGTTAGAGAGTCTGCCTCTATAATATGTAAATATTTCATTCCTGCTGCAGTAAATATTTATTTAAATTGTTTAGTATCACTCATAAAATAATTTGAAATAGCTTTTAGCAATTCAAAACATTAAGTACTTGTCCATGGAATTCTGTGGAACATGACTTGCTCTTTAAAACGTTTTAAAAGGTTGATCGGTGACAGGCATGTCCACTTGTGGTTGGTTTGCTGAGATAAGTATAAGCCTCATTCATCAGCTTTGCATATACTTTCTGCTTCACTGAGAAGCATGAAAAAACACAGTTGTTTTTTTTTTTTTCACCAGGCATTGCTGGTAATGCTGATAAGTTGTATGCAAACTAGTTGCAAGAGTCATAGTAAAATATAATGAGACTTCAGTATTTGTGCATATAATTATACATGATTGCTATGGACTCAATGGTATTTAAATGCCTTGTGTATGAGTCTCATAGAAGAAGAATCACAGTTCTATCCTGCATACTCCTAGTTTATTTCTTGATTGAATTAACACAAGCTAGGTGCATCTGAGAAAATATTGTATCAAATCTGTGTATGTATCGGTCAACACCCAAAATACAGCAAGTCACCCCCCACCCAACATTCTCAATGTCCAACGTAAAGCAGTACAAAAACCTGCTCTGAACAACACAAGTCTGCCTCTTCCTTTTAGTATCAAGATTTGGTTGATTTTGATGCCTTTTACTCCTACATTGTATGGGTACCTCTCGGGTCAGCTGTCTGTTCTCTGCCCCGAGATGCGTGGGATGGTTCTGCAGCAGCCCATGCTCTGAAGAATGAGCCTGGACTCTTCACTTTTTCGGTCTTCAGGTTGTTTATTATTTCTTATCTACAAAATTTTCTTTCTGCCCAGCCGAGGTCCGCTCAGCACGGCAGCCACAAGCACTCTCCTCCGCCCCCGAGGCGGTGTCATCTTTTTATACTACAAACTATGTATATCATATTTACTTTTAATTCCCAATTCCTATCACCTATAGACAGTGCATTTCTACTCTAAACCAATCCCCAAGTGCCAACATCACAGCAGAAAATGGAGAACAAGAAGAAGAAAGAAGAAGGACTAGACATGCCCCGATTCCTCCATCTTGTCCCCATAACCCCTGTACCAAAATTCCTAAAATCTACATTTCCACCCTGTGAACACCTTGTTATTACACCATTCAAACCTGTGTGGCTTTCTCATCCCCATGCATCCCCATGCCAAGCTGGCAATTCACTGGAAGGATCAAAATCAAGCCACCAGGTGTTCCGGGCAGCATGCCAGGGTCTCCGAGCCCCCTGACGGGGTTCTTGGCAACTCTGGACATCCGGAGGGATGTGCTGAGTTCCCACAGGTACCCTAAATAGTATTTCCTGATGGAAGGCAGGGCAGGGAAGCAAGCTTTCAATTGAATTTTGAAATAAATTCTGAAAAGTTATAGACCTTTCAGAGGCGGCATTGCTGGGATATGCAGCCACTGCATATAAAATGAGTCCAAGTTTCTTTGTTGTATTTCATTGCCAGTAGTGATCACAGTAATGGGTAGAGCCTAGAAAGAAGTGATTTCCAGGGCTGTGGCAAAGCGAGACAGTTTTTCTTGGTTGTAGATGTAGTGTTAATGTGTAAAAGTAAGTGAATTTCAAGTATAATTCAGACAGTAATTTAGGTTAGAGTTGCAAAGTATTAACATAACGTGACTCTAGGTATGACACCCATTCAGTAGGGATTTCTCCTACTTCACACTATTGCGAAATAAGAGTGGGCAGTTCTGCCAAGCTGCCCTTTCCTGAGAAACACGGTTAACATTATCCTTATTTTCCCTAAGTTTCCTCACTGAAGACTCTGAAAACTAAAATTTTAGGGTCTGATCTATTTTTCTGTGTCCCTTACAAGATATCCCCAAGGTCCCTTTCTGAAAGTGTTATCTGCAGTCCTCACATGATTCTGTTGTCAAACTCTGATGAGAAAAATGAATTAAACTGTCCTCATGGCCATATTCACTTTTTCTCCATTATATTTTGAACAAAATAAAAGCTTCTGGACAACTATCATTTAATATGAACACAATTTGAGTGTAACATGAAGATAAACATTTTTTTATCATATATAAATTTCTAGTACATAGGAGCTCAAGAGCAGAATTTGAAATCAGGCTGAAATAGCTGGTAGTTGTCTAGTGCTGAGTTTGGTAAGTTTTACAATTACATTTACACGACAGAAATTCCAGAGATAAATGGTTTATATTTCAAGTGGTTAAAGAGAATAGTTTTCATCCCTGTTCTGTATAATTCAAAATATTAATAGAAAATTGTAACTTGAAAGTCAATGCTATAGCAGTCGTAAATGATCACATTGTCTTACTGATTTATTCTCCTTTCTCTGTGCTTTTTCATTCTCAGGTACTCCTAGTTAATCTTTATTTTACACATGGCCATTCATCAAATTAGTTCATTTTCAACAAAAATAGAAATAGCTTTGGCCTTCTTTTTGTATTCACCTCAAATGCATGGGAGGAGAAAAAAACTGCACATAGAATGACTTTTCCTCTTAGGTGGGATATTTGAATGGAAAATTGTTGAAAAGTTCTGTTTCTACTTGTGGTAATACTTTTTTCTTCAGCCACTTACATGGGTCAGCATTTGTGGGATGCATTTGCTTCCAGCCTCCCTTTTACTGGCAGGTTAATCCTGAGCAACACTGAGGACAGGATTTGCAGCTGTGCATATTTAGCTCTGCTAGTCCGGTGTAGTTCTGAATGCTGTGCTGAGGACTGGCAAAGACATCAGTGATCACTAAAGCTACTGTGATGAGAGGGACTTTCAGCAACAGAGATTCTACCGAAGCATAAAAGACTCTTACTATAAAATACGTTTTACTACCATCATCAAGGTCTGTTCCTGTTCCATATTTTGTCATTTGCCATTCATTTAAGAGCTACTTATAAGCACTGAGAAAGCTTCACCTTTGATGAGAAATTTTATACCTGGCTCACTGTAATTTAATGATAGTTCAGCCCATTTCACTTCTTGCAATCCTGGATTTGATGAGAGAGTAATGAGAGAAAAACGTGGTTTTGAAATTCAAGGTGTATATAGACAAAATAATGTAAAATCAGCTGCTTTCTTTTTGGTATTAAATTTTTTCACAGTAGACAAGCTGCTTTTAAGTATCTCTAAATATCCTTCTGGATTTGGAGCTAATTAGGGAAGTAATATTTTACAATGTTTTTTTAGATAATATTACACTAATGAAAATAATTGTCTATATAACTATTTATAAATATTTATATAATTTAAGTTAGTATACTAAGCATGCAATTGTTCCATCAAGATGCATTTCAAATTTTCAGACTTGGCAAATTCTAGTGTTCTAAGCAAGTCTTCATGACTTGGTGTAACGTTTGGGGTGTTCAGATTTCAAGGATAAAGGGTGTATGTAAGTGTATGGGTGCATCAGAATCACAGTGGTGGAGTTGCCCTCTAAGTGAGGCAACACTTGGAATGCATCAGGCTCTGTCTTGGGGTGGGGGATGAGCAAACTGAGAGCCTATGAGTTAGGGTAAAAGGGCAGAGTAGCAAGAGTGACACTGTTGAGGGTGTTTGCTACAGGCTCCTGGTCAGGGGGAGGGAGTGGATGAGGCCTTGTACAGAGCAGCTTGGAGCAGCCCCACTGTCACAGGCTCTGGTTCTTGTGGGGGACTTCAACCACCCTGACATGGCTGGAGAAGCAGCACCATGAAGCACAAGCAGGATGAGAGGAACCTGGAAAGCATTGATGGCATCTTCCTGACACAGTGGAGGTTTCCACAAGGAATGGTGTGCTCCTTGACCTTTCACTAAGAAACAGGGAGGTCCTTGTTGGAGATCTGAATGTTGGGGTCAGCTTTGGCTGCAGCGACCATGAGATTGTGAAGTTCAGTATAGAACAAGGAGAAGCAGGGCAGCAAGTAAATTGTAACCTTCAGCCTCTTCAGGGGATCTTCTTAGCCATGGGAAAAAGTCTTTCAGGGAGGAAGGTTCCAAGAGAGTTGGTTAGTATTGAAGGA